TTTGATGCTGCTGCCGGAGGTGAATGAGGGAGCTGGACCGGGTCCAGAGCTTGTGCTTGGCCGATCAGGCATCGTAGGTGACCGGGGATGAAGCGAGGGGCGAGGCGAAGGCAGTTGAAGGTGAGAGCGACCAGCATCCCAAGATGGAGCTGGCGAGGGGATCGGTGCCGAGGGTTTCTCCTCGTTTTGACTGAAGTCGGCTCTGTGCCGGGGAGACTGGAAACTTGACACAAGGTGCTGGTCATCCCGGACGGGGCCCTCGCGGCCGTGCGCCGTCACCCCCTTCACAGATCTGGAACGATTGACGAACTTGAACATCCTTAATATCAAGCAGTGTCGCGCGATGCCTGCCAGCCGACAAGCGCCTCAGGGTGGTGTGGTGTGGGTGTGATGCGATCTCCGCCGAGGTCAATGATCACACTCGAGCGGAGGAAAGGTAGAGAAGAGGGAATTTCTATCAAGACCTGGAGAAATGGCAGCTGTCATCAACAGAGAGGGGATTGGCAATGTCCAAGTTGGCAGGGTCCTATGGCTGGACCAGGATTGGCGACGACGTAGGGCCCTGTTTTTTCTTTGCTGACAAGTCTTTTGATTTCTTCATTTCGGCGCTGGCGACCAATTGCCCCTCCGAGGCAGAGTGGCAAGTGGCTAGAGGATCTCCACGACCAAGGATGGGGAAGGCTTGCTTGCCGGCTTGACTCGCAAGCTCGCCAGACCTGCCGCTCGTTTGAGGTTGATGGAGTGGGAAGACTGGGACTTTGATCAGCATCAGGGAACGACCCCAGAGTCACGTCGTGCAGGGGGCCCTGGCCGAAAGGAATCATGAGCTCGCCAATCTTCGCAGGGCGGGTGGAGGGCAATTGTGTCAGAATGACAGGGTCTTGTGGCTGTCAGAAGAGACCGGCAATTTTGTTTTCGGGGCGAAGGGGCGACGCGATGCCAGACCATGTATGTCCCTCGTTCGTTTCTCCCGTGCGCGTTCACAAAACGCCGTTGGTAGGTGCTTGGGTAACGGCCTGCGCGCGGCGTGTTCCAGTGCTTCTTGTCTTCCACTATTCCAGAAGGGCGACAGAAGGCACGGTTGGCGGCAGATGGGCGGCCAGCGGTTGCATGTGGCGGCTGCGCCATTAAGATTGAAGGAGGCGGCTAGTCCACCCACACCTCACAGTACAGAGCGTGGGACTGGCTTATTAGCGATCGCCGTGATAATGAGGTGAATGGGCAAGAGGTCCACTAGGTTCATCTGCTGCAGGGTGTCAGGAGTCAGGCTGCAGGCTGCAGCCATCTTCTCATACAAGCTCATCTATCGAACGACGAGAGAGGGCGGGCCTGCTCAATCAGCAAATAATGGCGTCGCTGTGGACACGGAATGATCGTATCGCCTGTGAACAGGTTCTGGACTCGGTTCCAGGCGCCGACGTCAGCGACTGTGCGGCAAGTAGGCAAGGTTGGTGGGTCATGCACATGGGATGTAGCCGGGGGAGATTGGACGGAGCTTCGTCCGATGAGCCAGCAGATGGCAAGAGCGGGAGATGTGAGGGTGAGGTTGTAGTTGCACTGCAGCCGACAGGATGCGACGTGAGCCTCCTTTCACGTTGGCCAGCGCCGTTTGGAAGTGTTCCACGGTAAACCCATTGAGCCGTCAGGTGGCCGCCAGTCGCCAACGCCGAGAAATGTCACGAGCCATTGTTCTGTTTCTGTCGCCTCCTCCGTCTGTCGGTGAAGGCCAGCTGGTGGTGCTGCAATTCATGCGGATGGAGTATTTGGAAGACGTGGCACGGCATTCGGAGGCGAACGATGGGGTGGCGTTTCAGAAAGATCAGTGCAGCATTACAGAGGGGGTCGTGGATCGGAACCTTGGGCGTCTCAGAACTGCAACACGTCAGATCAACTAGGTACCCTGCCAGCCCTGTAGCGCCTGGTCGACGAATACTAAGACATTCCAAGACACGGCGCTGAAGCATATTCGGCAGGTCCAGGTCGCGAGCAGCGGATGTGATGCCACGATGGACAGTTCGATCATCCGAAGCCTTCGTCCTCCTGCTGGCGCCCGGTTTGTTGATCTGACAAGAATTGTCCATCCCGGGAGGTTGACGAACTGCCGGTCGTGCAATTGAGTAATGGCAGCTTGGCACAGACGCATCTGAACTGGGGCGCGTCGGTTTGGTCTCGACGGGGGGGCTTCAGACAATCATCGGATATAGCTGTCGAATGACGCATAGGCAAGCCGATGGCCTGGGTCAGATGATGCGCTGAAAGAAGAAAACGAGCGCGAATGATTCATCTATTCTTGTCTTGCCGTCCAGTGATAAGGTTCAGAGTTCCATTCCATCGAAGACAACGTGGGACTGCTAATTTGGGCGATCCGGCAAGTTGGAGATCGAGACCCAGAAGAGCTGCTTCGAAGGAAGATCTGGTAGATCAACCAAATGTAACCGCAGGATAGGCAGTGCTGCTGATCGGCCTGTACGACGAGTCGTGCACAGCATGGAAGTATGGAAGCATGGCAGAAGACTTTTGGTTGGTCGGAAATGTCTCAGCTCGTAGACTGCGGGTTGCGTGGCTGCCCTGAGGAGGTTTACAGGTCGAAATCAGACAAAGAATATCGCCTTGGCAGCGCCTATGGCACTCCGCTCAAGTCCTGCCCTCCTGCCATCCTGACCCAGTCTTATCACACATAACTCCGCCAGAGTCCTAAGGTCAGGGCACTCCACTCTGTTCATAAGGGTGTCGACCCAGACACCAATAGCACTAGATAGCTAACCATTTACAACACCTTTGATGTGCCCCCAAAGTGAGGTCCCAACACTAGTAGCAACTGGACATCCGGTCGCTCCATTATACCATCCCAAATTTTCATCAAGACAACTATCAGTCCATTAAGATACTAGTCTGCCGTCTGCCGACGAAGAGACAAATCAAAATACCGGACAGATCCCTCCCTCCCTGACCACTCCTCCCATATCGGATACGACAGCTATCAAGGCGTACCAACTATACCACTGGGCAGAGGCCCATCAGGACCAAGCCATCAAGATTCCATTATCGGATTTGTCCATCGTCTCCGTATTCGGCAAGTTGACTCCTATTGCAGAGGACCGAGAGTTTGTATCTATGGGTCGACGCGCAACGTCAGTATCATCCACATCCTCAGGATCCAAGGAGCAGGTAGCTACCGTGTGTGCAAACATGTGCTTTCCCTACGCCGGCCTCACGCCTGCCTTGGACCTGCCTCACCTCTCAGGTCCATGAGTCATCTGGTCATGCCTCATCGTACCTACCTCGCCTTGGTTGACCTCATATGATTACCTACCTAGGTACCTTATAATGCGCAACTTGGAAAAAATCTTTAATATCAAGTTTGGATACAGCATCTTCTACGTACCCTTGTAGTTTCAAAATCTATGAGAATATACTTCAAAGCTCTTTCGACAATGCTAACGATCCTAAGATACCGGAGATATAACCTGCCAAACGCTTCTCAGTCCGCCCATCCGTAATTCGGGAGAGTGTGCCTGTCTCCATTGGCAAATGCTCCTGCGAGATGACGCTGCGCAAACTCCAGTGTGCCCGACCAGCATACGAATGCGAGTACCAGATTCCGCACCCACAGGCCCCATGCCGTCTGCGGCGCCAGAAACGCCGGGACGAGTGGCGATATTTTCTGCAGGTCCTCGACTATGGGCCGCATCCGTTGCTCATACGCCCGCAACCCGCTCGGCAGATCGCCTGCGTGCCTGCTGATCTCGCCCGCGAGAACGTACGCACCCGCCATGGCGAGGCTCGTCCCAACTCCCGTCGCCCCTGAGCCGTACCCTGCGTCTCCCACCAGTGCGAAGTGGCCCCGATGCAGGCTGGGTGTGCGTACCTGCACAATTTCCGAGGCATAGAAGTCGTCTGCCTCCAGCATGCCCTTCACAATCTCGTCGCAGCGCCATCCAGCACCGCCAAAGTGCTTGGCTAGAAACTCTTTGACGGCATCCACGCCTTGATCCTGAACTTCTCGAAAGGATTTGGCAACATCGGATCCATCCTGAGGGTGAAATGACAACAGCGCCCCCCGCGTCGTTCCTGATGAACCTGGACCCAGGCCGACGAAGCGGCCGCCGACGGCACTGTATGACTGAGCTATCGTTTCGCTTTGGTTCAGATGACCTTGTATCGAGAAGTAACTGGCAAAGCAGTTCGTTGACTGCACATGGTCCCGCACGCCACAGCCCAGCCCCAAAGCGCGAGTCCTCGAGTTTGCGCCATCACAGGCAACAACCAGATCAAACACGGCAGCGGGATGCCCGTTGGCAAATTCTACATGAACGGGGGCATGTTCGTCGTTGTTTTCGTATTGCCGAATCGAGGTAACCTGCTCACCGAAGACGTACGTGATTCTGTCGTCTTCCTTGGTCAGGTCATAGAGAATACGGGCGAGATCACCACGGTAAATCTCGTACTCGGAAACGAGGGACTGCTGATCCGGGTCTCCTGTGCTTTGGATGGTACCGATCTTCCCACCATTGCCGCGGACAAAGCAAATGCCTTCCATCGAAATCTTTTTGGCGCGTACTGCGGCTTCCATGCCAGGCATCTTGCGCATGACAGCGACGCCGACATTGCGTATATCGACATTATGGCCATTGGTGCGCAGCTCGGGGAACCGTTCAATAACGGTGACAGTGGCGCCAGTCTTGGCGAACCAGTAGGCGGCTGTTGGTCCGGCAATAGAAGCGCCGACAATAAGGACTCGGAGATTAGACATTGTGTTGCATGCGAAGTTCGAGTGAATCAGCGTTTGGAGAGTTTGTGTCGTGAAGGTCCTGGTCTGGCTTACAGTCAGGCACTGGATGACTACTTTTATAGCTGAACTCATGACCACATGAACATATGCACTTGCGCTGGGAAATATGCGTGAGCCCGACACGGCCGCATGTCGACAGGTGGGGCCGGCCTGGTTCGGGTCCGGGCGAGGGCGGTTTTCGGTCGCTGAGACCCGAGAATTTGGCCAATCACAAGCCTTTTTCAAGTAAGTCTCCCTCCTTCTCATCTGGTCCAGTTGAACTCTGAATCTGGTAATCCCGGATGAGTTGATCCCAGAGCATCCAGTCCGCCTCATCGAAACCTTTATCGGCATGGGCGTCAGCCAACGGTTGAATCATTAAGAACTGTGGAGGATCATCTTCATGAGTGGTCTCGAGCCAGTCTACAGACTCGGAAGAGTTTCCAGAACCAGTCGATGTGGGGTTCTCAATCTTCTGTTTTTGTTTCTTGGAGGCATGCGAAGAGCCAGCCGCGCAATAGCATCGCAATGTCGAGATGAAAACTGGCTCCGACTTGTAATTGATCAAGGGATCATGGCAAGCATCCCACGCTTTGACAAAAAGTCGCCCGAATGACAAATACAACGCTCGTTCCGGTTGGGCCAACTCGGTGTGGTTGCGGCATAGCTCTTCCAGCTTGTCCCAGGCGTCGTCTCTTTCCTGGTCCGAAAGTAGTTCACATCTCTGCCACAGTGTCATCAAAATGTAGACAAGGGAGTCCCACGTCCCCCATAAGAAAAACCATCTTGTGTGCCATCGAAATCGGTCTAGGCTGGCATGCGCCAGGACCGCTGCATCTGTGTCAAGGATTCTCTGTGCAAGTCTGAAAAGGTCCACGCGCTCCAAAGGCGTTGCGTTTTGGTTCTTAACCTTTTGTAAGCGAATCCGCAGCCTCATAGCCGTGATCCCAGCTCGCGCAGAGCTGATGGTCAACATGTGAAGCGGGTTCACGAAATCGCAGTAGCGAATGTAACGCTCCTCGACCTCCTTTTCTGCTTCCTCGATCGCCCACTCGCGGGCTCGGTCATCCAGATGCTTTGACGCATCCACTGATTTCCCTGGTTTCGCGATGAAGGATCCAAGAGACGACCGCGCGAGACAAAACATCATCTCTGTTGCTCCTTCTCGTGCTACTGGCGCTTCCGTCATGGTCGGCCAAATCTGTTCGTCGTCAATGTTGAGTGGCTGCCGAGTGTCCCAGTCGTCGGGAATCGACACGCCCACGCCCGCCATACGGCTGGATGCGCCATCGAGCGGGAGAATCTGGAAGAATAGCCGTCGTCGCATCTGTACGTCAAACGGCGAGAGGCCCTGCACCTCCCCATCGCGGTGCAACCCCATTCGCTGGGCAATCCGGGTCGCGACGCCGGTCAGGATCCAGAACGTGTGGGGATCGTACTCATTCCGACAGCAGACGAGATGGAGAACAAGGGCCTGCAACACGGTCATGGCTGTTGTGCTGAGGAAAGATGCGTTGACGAGAGCCTGGCGTGTTGCTAGGTTGTAGCGCTGAAGCAGGACCTCGCGTGAGGTCGACCCCAGCTTTCGGAGGCATTCTTCGTCCGACATGGACACGATCGCAAAGTGGTAGATGGCAAAGACGAGGCATTCGTCAGCTTTGTTTGCCTGTCCCAGTTGTTTCGAAAGAGTGTCTATCGTCTTGGCCACTGAAGGAACGTGCAGTACTTTCAGTAGAGGCTCGACATTATCCACATATATCGCCCACAAGATCATGGCCTCTGCATGGGTTGGGTGATGCTTGAGGAGATCGCGATGTTGTCCGCCCAGGAATGCTCCCGTCAAAGGATCAGATGCAGGGCCCTCAACGATGCCCACGGCCCCATCTTCTTCGTCCGCCGCGTCGTCATCGTCATCATGATGAGCGGCATGCTCATCGCCCATGCGCTCCATCTCGTCGTCCCCAAGGTTGCGCCATAGGTGGCTGTTGACATACCTCGATTTCCCTTGACCGACAACAAGCTTGCCAGACGGAAGATTCCAGAGTGGGAAGATCGGGTCCTCGGCCGCCTCCACGTCCTTCTCAGCTGCAGGCGACGCGCCAGCAGTTTCCAGCAGGCCGTGTCGGCGTAGCACGCGCTCGTACCGCGCCAGCCTCTCGTAAACGTCATCAGCACCCGCCTCACCTGGCTTCCGCTTCCGCGCACGGGGCGCCGGAGCTTCGTAGATGCATTCTAGCCTGCCTTTTCGACAGCTGGAGCATAGGGGTGTCGACTTATCGCACTTGACCTTGCGACGGGCGCATGTCTGGCATGAGAATGCCATGGATGGGTGGGAGGAGTACCCGGCGGCTCCGGCGGTACTTGGCTTGTTTTTTGGGGTTGGTGCAATTGGCGCTGACATGCTGTGCTGGAAGGCGAATTGAAGACGGTCTTTGCAGATGCTTTGAGAGGGGGGTGGTTTGGTGGGAAGAAAACCGCCGTTGGGTTATTTACCTTGTACTGCGTCGTTGACTGGCTTAATGCACGGTCTAGGTCTGGGTGCCGGATAGCCGTGCTTATTAGTTTGGTACTTGGGTACTTTGTAGGGTCTTGAGAAACGACGATGGTGGCGAAAACAGACGATAGGTCAACCCAGGACCTAATCGCCGAATTGCGGCATAGTCATTTCGAACCCTCGAGGCCTTCTTCAAAGCAGCCATCCGTTATGCTTTCAGATTCCTCCCTTGGACAGTGCCTGCTTCCACGCTCCCACCTTTCTATCCACAGTTCACAACACTATGGGACACCGCCCACATACTGATTCAAGTCTGATCATTGGAAAGTACTCGAATATTGTCGACATTCATGTGCCACAGAGGTCGAATTTGGCTGTTCATGTACCATGTAAGCAGGCAGTGGCATGTTGCAGAGGACTGTATTGCTTATGACCGCCATGAGAAAGGAAACTAGCATTGCTGGTGATTGGCTCAGCACCTATAGTAGCTACTGAAATACCCCTGTAGAATTCAATACGGCAACAGCATACCCCGGTTGTTTAAAGTAGTTAGCACAAAATCGAAGAGGTTTTCAACAACGTCAACATTGCCTCCCATGTATGACGCCTGTGGAGAAGCACGTACCCGGACTCGGTCGCCGCGTTCGCTGCGTTCTCTCCGTCACGTACATGTCCCCTCAAGGCCAGAGTACCCAAACTAGGTAGGAAGTCTTGGTGTGAGCCACCGCCAGGTTTCGCTACAGGGGGCTGAGGTACAGAAGTGGCCTCAAATCTGTAGACAAAGTTCATCCTCTCAAAACATCTTCTTGCACGTCATTTTAGCAAATATGTAGTGCCTGAGCCTTCGAAGATAGTCAAGTAGACGAGAATCAAAACTTTTATTTGCTATCAAAGATTCAAGGACATATCATATTCTTCAGGCAAAGAGAAACCAACGACTGGAAAGGAAAACTCAAGACAGAAACGGAAAGTGACGCGCGCAAAGAAATACTGCCAACTGACTCGTCTGTTGGAACCCTCCACGCCGCTGGTTCACTTGTCCTCATGCTTCCCAGGCTGGGTCGCATTCTGGTTGGCCTTACCGTTGCTATCCATGGGTGAGGCGTCCTCACAGTAACCGTTCATCATCCAACTTTCCGGAAAGTCCTCATCACCACCCTTGACGGTCCTGCCTTTGAGATGATTGTTCGCGTACAAAGTGAGGTACCCAGTCACAGCCTTGCTGCTTCCGGCAGCCGCTGCGTGACCATGATCATCTGGGCTATTGACGTCCTGGTAAGGGGTATCGCAATGGTTGATCATCTTGCGACAGTTAATCGCGGTGTTGTTCAACCACATGTTGTTGCCTCCTGGCACCCAGCCCTTGGAGTCCCGACAATGGCCATTCCGCATATTTGCGTCGGTGACGGTGTTTCCAGAATACGCGGTCAAGTTGCTTGCAGACCTTATCCGTTCTTCCAGAATCGTTGTCCAACGAGCGGTACTGCCGGGGGTGTCGATGGATCCCCAGTCATTGCCATGAGTCTGCTCCCCAGTTGCTCCAGTTGCTCCAGTTGCTCCAGTTGCTCCAGTTGCTCCAGTTGCTCCAGTTGCTC